ATAAAGTCCGAGTCTTGTATTACAAGGATATATATAATAATAAAACTAAGACAAACGCTTACACAACACCCACATGTATATACAGAGGAAGGGTGAAAAACAAATAGCATCAAATCAAAAGAATGATATGTAAGTTACCTCTTTTTTCTTTTGAAATTAGAAAGATCTAACATTAGTGGCAGCTATAATCTAATAGTGCATGAAGTTAGAATGACAATAAAAACGCGGGAAAAATTATATTGTTACTATACATGTTCCTGTCACACTGGTCATTGTTTATTATACATATATCTTCTTTTTTTCATTTCTACTCCTATTAAATGCAAGTTCATAAGAAATAATTCTTCTAGAGGGGATAAACTTTCTGAAAACTAGACATATCATCGTAGAGAATGCTAATAAAGTATAGTACGGTAGTCTAAAATAAATGGCATTATAGCGATTGTGAAAAATCACGTTACTTAGAGAAGGGACTAATTTTTGTAACACCATCGTGTTGACAATGGCAACATACTTCTTGAGGTAGGTATATTCATTATTCAAATTTCCCAACTTAATGGATCAAATTTTGTATAGATATAAACTTGGATGCTATCTACTAAATTTAAACAAATTTATTACTGTCAACTAATTAACAGGTTTAACCCTTGCAACGGAGTTTACGAGAAGAATTAACATGATTAATAAATATGAATTTCAAGAATTTATTTGACATATTTCTAAATCGAAAAACTACTACAAAGTCTGAAAATTCAGGTAAGGGTAACCCAATTTGCAGGTTTTGGGTTTAGCGTAGAGGACCACGAAGGAGGTCATTCTCAATCGCTCTCATTGAATCATCTTACAAGCTGGACTGTACCTGGATGTGACCAAGCTAGTTCTTGCTACTTGCTAGTACCAATCTGCCTAGCTACTCCCATCATCTACTCTTTCGTTTTCTGTCTTTTTCAGAGCCCAATTCCATAAGTAGACCTTATTATCAAGACTAACTTTGAACTGTAAATTTGGCTCAACTTACATGGATTGAGATAAAAAAAAAATTCCAGGATTAAAATATCCACACAAAATATTATATGGATCAGTATCAACCTTGTGTTATTTTTTGAACATGAAAAATATCGTTTTTTAAATATATAATTAGATATATAAGCAACACCTTAGTATTAAAGGTGGGTATGGATTGAATTTGTTAACGTTAGATATATTATATCTTTTATTTTTATCTTTTATCTTTCACTTAGTTTGTTATTATTTATTATTTGTATTTTGGGCCTAGTCCATATTTTTTCTATTATAAATAGAAAACCATATGTGTGTTTAACACAAGGGAGATTAATCCAAATATAGTTTTTCACTATATTTAACATGGTATCAGAGCAGATTTTCTGATCTCTTTCGGTGGTCTTTGCTGTCTGCCGGTGGTCAGCCGTCATGGCCGCCGGCAGCCCCTAAAAGTTTCATAATATTCATTTTCTCTTTTTCTTAAATCTCAGTACCTAGAATCAAAGAGAGAAGTCTCCTGGGAACCACTGCCTCCTCTGAACCAGTCACCGCTCAATCGATTGCCGCTCTCTACTGCCACCGACCATACGTCGTCGGCCACCGTCACAGTTTCAACGGGTGAACAGTAGATCTGGGTCGTCTCCTCGAGCGACGGCCAACCCCGCCGGAGCCGAGATCGTATTTCGCTCAACGCGCCTTCACGCGCTGCCTATCTTCACGCGTTGCCTGTCTTCAGCTGGTCTCGGGTGCTTGTTTGTCACGCGCCGCCTTCTCGCCGGCTACAGTCACAGTTCTGACCGGTGACTAGTGGATCTGGACCGTCTCTTCAAGCGCGACCTAACCCTGGCAGTCGTCGTCTTTGTCTCGTCTCCATGCGTTGTCACGCGCCTCCACTCTTCGGTAGATCTCGGACGCGTGTTCATCACGCGTCGCCTTCTTGGCGTCGGTATCAAACCGCACCGCTGCCAGTCATCTCACCGAACCTCCCTCTATCTGTTCAGACCTTCCAAAGCAGCCATTGCTGCCATCGACATCTGTCTTCTTCTCGCCGCATGCTTCCGCATCTTCGGACCTCCTTCTTCTTTCTGCGTTTTCTTGTGCTTCGTCTCCGCCGTTGATGCACCAGCGTCTAGTGCTATCTTTTCTGCTTTCGTCATCCTCCACTCTGCCGTAGAGGGTTTCGCCTCTGTGTTGTTGTTCTTGCCTTGTTTTTCCTTTCTCATTGTATCTGCCATAGAGGGTTTCGCCTCTGTGTTGCTGTTCTTGACTTGTTCTTCCTTTCTTATTGTATCTGCCGCACAGATCTGCTGCATTTATTGCCTCCTTCTCCGCTGCTCTCCTTCATCCACTTTTGAAGTTGAAGTGTTTATTGCCTCCTTCTCCGCTACTCTCCTTCATTCACTTTTGAAGTTGAAGTGTTTATTGCCTCCTTCTCCGCTGCTCTCCTTCATCCACTTTTGAAGTTGAAGTTTCACAAGCTGTTGTTTGTTCATTGACATGTGATAACCCATCTCTGTTTGCCTCACACTCTTGAAGACAAATCATCTAGTTCAAAACCAAGTTCAGTTATTTCAAGCTTGGTTCATACAATTTGTATGCTCCAGCTTGAGGGGGAGTGTTAGATATATTATATCTTTTATCTTTATTTTTTATCTTTCAGTTAGTTTGTTATTATTTATTATTTGTATTTTGGGCCTAGCCCATATTTTTTCTATTATAAATAGAAAACCCTATGTGTGTTTAACACAAGGGAGATTAATCCAAATATAGTTTTTCACTATATTCAACCGTTAATATCAACTAAATCCAATAAAATGATTTGGATCTAAAATATAAATTTAGTCGCTGCAGTTAAAATAAATTTGGATTAAAATTTATATCTATTTTAACTAAATAGGCTATATTTGAAATTTTTTTTCAATAAATTTAAATTAGATTAAAATTAGATTTAATCTACTTTATCAATGAAATTAAATTCAATAAGATCAATCCAATATACTTACTTATTAAATCAATTAAATATAGATTATGTTAACTCAACTTATATCAACTCAATTAAACCATTTAGTTTAGGTTAACTTAACCTTAAGCTACGATTAATTCGACTCAATTTTAGATTATAATTGACTCAGTTTAGTCTTTGATTGGAGTCAATATAATCCAACATTCAACTGAGACTAACTTTAGTGAACTATTAATTGATGTCCACTTTGACAAATTATCCGAAGCCGACTCGAGACAAACTCAACAAACCATCAACTAAATTACATTTTCAACCAAACTAACTCAAAGAGGATCAACGCGAAATTTAAAGCCAAATTCCATAAGTCACATTCTAGATTACCTTATTATCGAGACATAGCACAATGAACATGTGTTGCAATCATTATCGCTTCCCTCTCCGCAAGATATCACGTAATTTGTTAGCTTTTTAATCTAAACATTGTATCTTACTGCATGGTTTGTCTTGGATACTGGAGTGAGTTTACAGTTACCTCATCAATGCATATAGCCGAGCCAGCCAGCAAGGGCCCAGGTGCACTCCCGAGACAAGTCCAGCTACTGATCACGAACGTCCATATTCCAAGCCGCAACCAGGGGACCAGTATTTTTCTCTTAGATCGAGGATTGGGCCCGTCAGTATTTTCTACAGCAGAAAACTATTGAACTAATCTCCAGGTAANTCTTTTAATTCTCAACGTGAGTGTGTTAATACAATTGATGATGCAATGAAAATACCATTACAGTTGAAAAAGAAAAAAAGAAATCCCGTAACAGGACTCCAAAAAAGAAAGGCAACTGCTGCATTTGCTATGAGGTGAAAGTTGACTCTGTTTTGTACAGGTAATTAATTAATTAATTGCTTGTGAATGAAAAGATTTGTTTGTTTCCATTTTAGGAGAAAAAATCACTCGTGTCTCACCAACTTCATTGCAGGTGTGGACACATGTGTGCGTGTCTCAAGTGTGCCATCGAGCTGCAATGTAACAGTGGAAAATGTCCCATATGTCGGGCTAAAATAGTGGATGTTGTTCGAGTATATATTGACGGTTAGGTGTCACATTCGACAGAATCTCATCACTCCATACGACTATCCTTAGCAAGCTGCTACAATTAACATCACAAACCATACACGAGTTTCTCCTTTTTTACATGTACTTTCGTCAAGGGAGTGTATGATTTTTTTGCGGAGAAACAACATCACTGTACATTATTTCATAGTTTTAAATTTAACCCTTTTTTTTCTTGTTCATGTGTCAGTGTTCAGCATAATAAAGTCCGAGTCTTGTATTACAAGGATATATATAATAATAAAACTAAGACAAACGCTTACACAACACCCACATGTATATACAGAGGAAGGGTGAAAAACAAATAGCATCAAATCAAAAGAATGATATGTAAGTTACCTCTTTTTTCTTTTGAAATTAGAAAGATCTAACATTAGTGGCAGCTATAATCTAATAGTGCATGAAGTTAGAATGACAATAAAAACGCGGGAAAAATTATATTGTTACTATACATGTTCCTGTCACACTGGTCATTGTTTATTATACATATATCTTCTTTTTTTCATTTCTACTCCTATTAAATGCAAGTTCATAAGAAATAATTCTTCTAGAGGGGATAAACTTTCTGAAAACTAGACATATCATCGTAGAGAATGCTAATAAAGTATAGTACGGTAGTCTAAAATAAATGGCATTATAGCGATTGTGAAAAATCACGTTACTTAGAGAAGGGACTAATTTTTGTAACACCATCGTGTTGACAATGGCAACATACTTCTTGAGGTAGGTATATTCATTATTCAAATTTCCCAACTTAATGGATCAAATTTTGTATAGATATAAACTTGGATGCTATCTACTAAATTTAAACAAATTTATTACTGTCAACTAATTAACAGGTTTAACCCTTGCAACGGAGTTTACGAGAAGAATTAACATGATTAATAAATATGAATTTCAAGAATTTATTTGACATATTTCTAAATCGAAAAACTACTACAAAGTCTGAAAATTCAGGTAAGGGTAACCCAATTTGCAGGTTTTGGGTTTAGCGTAGAGGACCACGAAGGAGGTCATTCTCAATCGCTCTCATTGAATCATCTTACAAGCTGGACTGTACCTGGATGTGACCAAGCTAGTTCTTGCTACTTGCTAGTACCAATCTGCCTAGCTACTCCCATCATCTACTCTTTCGTTTTCTGTCTTTTTCAGAGCCCAATTCCATAAGTAGACCTTATTATCAAGACTAACTTTGAACTGTAAATTTGGCTCAACTTACATGGATTGAGATAAAAAAAAAGTTCCAGGATTAAAATATCCACACAAAATATTATATGGATCAGTATCAACCTTGTGTTATTTTTTGAACATGAAAAATATCGTTTTTTAAATATATAATTAGATATATAAGCAACACCTTAGTATTAAAGGTGGGTATGGATTGAATTTGTTAACGTTAGATATATTATATCTTTTATTTTTATCTTTTATCTTTCACTTAGTTTGTTATTATTTATTATTTGTATTTTGGGCCTAGTCCATATTTTTTCTATTATAAATAGAAAACCATATGTGTGTTTAACACAAGGGAGATTAATCCAAATATAGTTTTTCACTATATTTAACATGGTATCAGAGCAGATTTTCTGATCTCTTTCGGTGGTCTTTGCTGTCTGCCGGTGGTCAGCCGTCATGGCCGCCGGCAGCCCCTAAAAGTTTCATAATATTCATTTTCTCTTTTTCTTAAATCTCAGTACCTAGAATCAAAGAGAGAAGTCTCCTGGGAACCACTGCCTCCTCTGAACCAGTCACCGCTCAATCGATTGCCGCTCTCTACTGCCACCGACCATACGTCGTCGGCCACCGTCACAGTTTCAACGGGTGAACAGTAGATCTGGGTCGTCTCCTCGAGCGACGGCCAACCCCGCCGGAGCCGAGATCGTATTTCGCTCAACGCGCCTTCACGCGCTGCCTATCTTCACGCGTTGCCTGTCTTCAGCTGGTCTCGGGTGCTTGTTTGTCACGCGCCGCCTTCTCGCCGGCTACAGTCACAGTTCTGACCGGTGACTAGTGGATCTGGACCGTCTCTTCAAGCGCGACCTAACCCTGGCAGTCGTCGTCTTTGTCTCGTCTCCATGCGTTGTCACGCGCCTCCACTCTTCGGTAGATCTCGGACGCGTGTTCATCACGCGTCGCCTTCTTGGCGTCGGTATCAAACCGCACCGCTGCCAGTCATCTCACCGAACCTCCCTCTATCTGTTCAGACCTTCCAAAGCAGCCATTGCTGCCATCGACATCTGTCTTCTTCTCGCCGCATGCTTCCGCATCTTCGGACCTCCTTCTTCTTTCTGCGTTTTCTTGTGCTTCGTCTCCGCCGTTGATGCACCAGCGTCTAGTGCTATCTTTTCTGCTTTCGTCATCCTCCACTCTGCCGTAGAGGGTTTCGCCTCTGTGTTGTTGTTCTTGCCTTGTTTTTCCTTTCTCATTGTATCTGCCATAGAGGGTTTCGCCTCTGTGTTGCTGTTCTTGACTTGTTCTTCCTTTCTTATTGTATCTGCCGCACAGATCTGCTGCATTTATTGCCTCCTTCTCCGCTGCTCTCCTTCATCCACTTTTGAAGTTGAAGTGTTTATTGCCTCCTTCTCCGCTACTCTCCTTCATTCACTTTTGAAGTTGAAGTGTTTATTGCCTCCTTCTCCGCTGCTCTCCTTCATCCACTTTTGAAGTTGAAGTTTCACAAGCTGTTGTTTGTTCATTGACATGTGATAACCCATCTCTGTTTGCCTCACACTCTTGAAGACAAATCATCTAGTTCAAAACCAAGTTCAGTTATTTCAAGCTTGGTTCATACAATTTGTATGCTCCAGCTTGAGGGGGAGTGTTAGATATATTATATCTTTTATCTTTATTTTTTATCTTTCAGTTAGTTTGTTATTATTTATTATTTGTATTTTGGGCCTAGCCCATATTTTTTCTATTATAAATAGAAAACCCTATGTGTGTTTAACACAAGGGAGATTAATCCAAATATAGTTTTTCACTATATTCAACCGTTAATATCAACTAAATCCAATAAAATGATTTGGATCTAAAATATAAATTTAGTCGCTGCAGTTAAAATAAATTTGGATTAAAATTTATATCTATTTTAACTAAATAGGCTATATTTGAAATTTTTTTTCAATAAATTTAAATTAGATTAAAATTAGATTTAATCTACTTTATCAATGAAATTAAATTCAATAAGATCAATCCAATATACTTACTTATTAAATCAATTAAATATAGATTATGTTAACTCAACTTATATCAACTCAATTAAACCATTTAGTTTAGGTTAACTTAACCTTAAGCTACGATTAATTCGACTCAATTTTAGATTATAATTGACTCAGTTTAGTCTTTGATTGGAGTCAATATAATCCAACATTCAACTGAGACTAACTTTAGTGAACTATTAATTGATGTCCACTTTGACAAATTATCCGAAGCCGACTCGAGACAAACTCAACAAACCATCAACTAAATTACATTTTCAACCAAACTAACTCAAAGAGGATCAACGCGAAATTTAAAGCCAAATTCCATAAGTCACATTCTAGATTACCTTATTATCGAGACATAGCACAATGAACATGTGTTGCAATCATTATCGCTTCCCTCTCCGCAAGATATCACGTAATTTGTTAGCTTTTTAATCTAAACATTGTATCTTACTGCATGGTTTGTCTTGGATACTGGAGTGAGTTTACAGTTACCTCATCAATGCATATAGCCGAGCCAGCCAGCAAGGGCCCAGGTGCACTCCCGAGACAAGTCCAGCTACTGATCACGAACGTCCATATTCCAAGCCGCAACCAGGGGACCAGTATTTTTCTCTTAGATCGAGGATTGGGCCCGTCAGTATTTTCTACAGCAGAAAACTATTGAACTAATCTCCAGGTAATTAAAGTAGAATATAACTTACAGGTGCTACTCTATTTGCATAACCAAAGAACAAACCTTGTCATTTGCTTAAAGAACCAAAATTACAATCCTGTGTCACACCTTTGTGGATGTGAGGGGATCAATATGGGATCATCTAGGTGAAGTAGCAGTTAAATTTATGGCATATTACTACCAAGAACGTGTTCAACTGGTATAAGATTGTTTCAACTAAACAGAACTTTCAAGTTTAAATCATGGATGTAGAACTGCACAAAACACTTAGCTGTGTCATCCATAGTAATCTTGGTTAACTCGATGATATTGGACCAGTTTGTTTAAACTTAAAAGGTACTTTTTAAAAAAAACCTCTTATTTAAGAAATAGGATTAACTTGTTAAAACAACATAAAGCTGTCCATTTAAAAGAAATAAGAAAATAGAAATCTATTTATTTTATTGAAAACGTACCTTTCAAGAAAATTAAAAACAAAAATACTGACCCTTCTCTCCAATTAAAAAAAAAAGACCCATGGTCTACGAAGAAAAAATGATGACATATTTGTTCTTGTTTGTAAATGGTGAGGTTGAAAAGGAGGAGCAAAAGCTGGATGCAGAAAGTACGCGAAGCAGCCCCACTGGGTTTCATTACTTGAAGAGCACGTATGAGCTGCATTGAAAGGGTTGAAGTCCACACATAATTAATGCTGTAACTGCTTTGTCAGCTTTCCTCCCTTCTCTTCAGACAGGGCATGTACATCCAAAAGAAAGACATAGTAAATAACCATAAAAAGAGAAGGACCATATAATACGGCCCATAATAACTGCCAACCCAGGAAATGGAATTGGAAAATATATTAAATATCAAAACTACCATTCTCAAGTTTTTAATAGACATCAGAATAAACAAGTGCAAAAGCACTCCACTCCTGATTTTTGGAAGTGGCCCAATGTTGACCCATCATTCATTACTGATATATAATGCTACATCTTTATTCAATGGATGCCAACTAAAAGACACATTACCTCTAGTTGGAATTTAATTTCATAAAATTAATTTATTCCTTAACTTTGATTAATATATGACTAAATTAATCTAAAACTGATCAATAAAAAAGTACAGTGATTGAATTTTTCTAGCTTTAAAACAAACAGAGGAAGTTGAAATAGATAACTTCCACAACATAGATCCAAATCCGTACTTGATGTACAATGATAACATCCTTGTACCTACTAGTATCATTAAGATGTTCCAATTAGACTTTGGCATTTCCCTTATATATCATGTATCTCATTCTTGTGTCTAATCATATCCTTAATAGTAGTCACTGATTATGTGATCAATCACTTTAATTTCTGGCTTCCTAAAATCAAGATCTAAAATAAAAAACAAAATGTAAAGTCGGAAAATAAAATTNTTGCCTCACACTCTTGAAGACAAATCATCTAGTTCAAAACCAAGTTCAGTTATTTCAAGCTTGGTTCATACAATTTGTATGCTCCAGCTTGAGGGGGAGTGTTAGATATATTATATCTTTTATCTTTATTTTTTATCTTTCAGTTAGTTTGTTATTATTTATTATTTGTATTTTGGGCCTAGCCCATATTTTTTCTATTATAAATAGAAAACCCTATGTGTGTTTAACACAAGGGAGATTAATCCAAATATAGTTTTTCACTATATTCAACCGTTAATATCAACTAAATCCAATAAAATGATTTGGATCTAAAATATAAATTTAGTCGCTGCAGTTAAAATAAATTTGGATTAAAATTTATATCTATTTTAACTAAATAGGCTATATTTGAAATTTTTTTTCAATAAATTTAAATTAGATTAAAATTAGATTTAATCTACTTTATCAATGAAATTAAATTCAATAAGATCAATCCAATATACTTACTTATTAAATCAATTAAATATAGATTATGTTAACTCAACTTATATCAACTCAATTAAACCATTTAGTTTAGGTTAACTTAACTTAACCTTAAGCTACGATTAATTCGACTCAATTTTAGATTATAATTCGACTCAATTTTAGATTATAATTGACTCAGTTTAGTCTTTGATTGGAGTCAATATAATCCAACATTCAACTGAGACTAACTTTAGTGAACTATTAATTGATGTCCACTTTGACAAATTATCCGAAGCCGACTCGAGACAAACTCAACAAACCATCAACTAAATTACATTTTCAACCAAACTAACTCAAAGAGGATCAACGCGAAATTTAAAGCCAAATTCCATAAGTCACATTCTAGATTACCTTATTATCGAGACATAGCACAATGAACATGTGTTGCAATCATTATCGCTTCCCTCTCCGCAAGATATCACGTAATTTGTTAGCTTTTTAATCTAAACATTGTATCTTACTGCATGGTTTGTCTTGGATACTGGAGTGAGTTTACAGTTACCTCATCAATGCATATAGCCGAGCCAGCCAGCAAGGGCCCAGATGCACTCCCGAGACAAGTCCAGCTACTGATCACGAACGTCCATATTCCAAGCCGCAACCAGGGGACCAGTATTTTTCTCTTAGATCGAGGATTGGGCCCGTCAGTATTTTCTACAGCAGAAAACTATTGAACTAATCTCCAGGTAATTAAAGTAGAATATAACTTACAGGTGCTACTCTATTTGCATAACCAAAGAACAAACCTTGTCATTTGCTTAAAGAACCAAAATTACAATCCTGTGTCACACCTTTGTGGATGTGAGGGGATCAATATGGGATCATCTAGGTGAAGTAGCAGTTAAATTTATGGCATATTACTACCAAGAACGTGTTCAACTGGTATAAGATTGTTTCAACTAAACAGAACTTTCAAGTTTAAATCATGGATGTAGAACTGCACAAAACACTTAGCTGTGTCATCCATAGTAATCTTGGTTAACTCGATGATATTGGACCAGTTTGTTTAAACTTAAAAGGTACTTTTTAAAAAAAACCTCTTATTTAAGAAATAGGATTAACTTGTTAAAACAACATAAAGCTGTCCATTTAAAAGAAATAAGAAAATAGAAATCTATTTATTTTATTGAAAACGTACCTTTCAAGAAAATTAAAAACAAAAATACTGACCCTTCTCTCCAATTAAAAAAAAAAGACCCATGGTCTACGAAGAAAAAATGATGACATATTTGTTCTTGTTTGTAAATGGTGAGGTTGAAAAGGAGGAGCAAAAGCTGGATGCAGAAAGTACGCGAAGCAGCCCCACTGGGTTTCCTTACTTGAAGAGCACGTATGAGCTGCATTGAAAGGGTTGAAGTCCACACATAATTAATGCTGTAACTGCTTTGTCAGCTTTCCTCCCTTCTCTTCAGACAGGGCATGTACATCCAAAAGAAAGACATAGTAAATAACCATAAAAAGAGAAGGACCATATAATACGGCCCATAATAACTGCCAACCCAGGAAATGGAATTGGAAAATATATTAAATATCAAAACTACCATTCTCAAGTTTTTAATAGACATCAGAATAAACAAGTGCAAACGCACTCCACTCCTGATTTTTGGAAGTGGCCCAATGTTGACCCATCATTCATTACTGATATATAATGCTACATCTTTATTCAATGGATGCCAACTAAAAGACACATTACCTCTAGTTGGAATTTAATTTCATAAAATTAATTTATTCCTTAACTTTGATTAATATATGACTAAATTAATCTAAAACTGATCAATAAAAAAGTACAGTGATTGAATTTTTCTAGCTTTAAAACAAACAGAGGAAGTTGAAATAGATAACTTCCACAACATAGATCCAAATCCGTACTTGATGTACAATGATAACATCCTTGTACCTACTAGTATCATTAAGATGTTCCAATTAGACTTTGGCATTTCCCTTATATATCATGTATCTCATTCTTGTGTCTAATCATATCCTTAATAGTAGTCACTGATTATGTGATCAATCACTTTAATTTCTGGCTTCCTAAAATCAAGATCTAAAATAAAAAACAAAATGTAAAGTCGGAAAATAAAATTATAAAAGTCTTGGAGTCTAGTTTAAAAATTTACTCCACTTCTATTATCATCCATCACAGTATACAATCGTACATATAAACTTATTAAAAGTCATGGTTCTGCTCAATCTGATCTATGTAGTTGTCACTTTTCAGTATCTTTATCCTGACCATAAAGTCCACAAAGTGTCGTTCCTGGTCCTAAAACAATGACAACGCTAACTCCAGCTGTACCCAGCTTAGATATCAACCACCAAATACAGCTACTTTTAACAATAGGCAAAGCTAATCTTACTGATATTTGAACAAGCAAACTAGTAATTATCACCCGTATCCTAGGAGTCATTTATGAATTTGACTTCCTGAGTATGATGTGGCAAATGCACTCTTGACGAACGAGTAGATTTTTGTTTTGTTTGAAATTTGAAACAGACTTATGTAGTGTTACACTCACAAGGAAAGTAAACTCCAAAAAATGTAGAACATCCCTATCAATTGAAGAATGATCAATCTTAAGACAAGTGACCTAGATCTAACCAAAACCACCACCAACACACGTGATATTACCGCATATTTCCATGACAACACAAAGAACAAAAGAAAGGGAGCAGAAGATCATCAACACTTTATATGTAGTATCAAACAATACTTCCCTTGTTTTGCAGTAGATGAAGCAACCCAAAATATAAAGAAGCAAATCCTAGTCTAAAAGAACCAAAAATATACAATTGAGGGAAGAATTTGATTGGGTTTTGCACCAATAACTAAAGCCTTTTCAACTTGGTGAGGTTAGCTAAATTGAGTTTTGCACCAATGGCATAGAAAAGCGTAATCTAAAAATGTTTAACATTTGCGTCTTTCTTCTATTTCTCTCCCTTATTTTTGTACTGGGCGTAAGCCAACCGACATACAAATAAATGGCCTATCAATACTAGTTATAGCCCACAGAATCGTTAGGCATATGGTGATCCCAACTGTCTAAGACGAGGGTGGTAGGACATTTGGCATTCTGGGTTTTGCACATCAAATCCTACATTTTAACTATTTCTCCCCTCAATTTTTGAACTAGGTGGAAATTAACCAGATACAAATAAAATGACAGTGATAGGACATTTGGCTTTAGCATGAGCAGATAAGACAACTACATTCAAGTTTTATGACAGGAGTAAAAATATAAATTAAAAAGGTTTATAGAAGGCAAATGAAACCCCTAATAGATTAATCTCTCCCACAAAAGGCTAAGTCAAAAATGCTCCTTAGATCCTTTTAAAACCAAACTTACACCACCAGGACTATATCATCCACAATGGCTCTCGAGATCTAAATAAGTACGAGGGTAACTTCATGCATATTAAGAATCTTCAAAATTGTGTTTGCATTGTATGAATCTAGCAATCTTAGATCTTTACTAGCAACAAGTTTGCGGCACAACTCTCTAAACTTATTCATATTCTATAGTCTTAACTCAGACCAGTTTATTAGCCCCAGTTCTACAGTACTTGCAAAATAGCAAACAATGAAGACCATAAATTAATTCAATCAGAACATTGAATCAGTGGTCAAGAAGAACATGTAATGCGTTCAACGACAACAGATAAAACTAGCAGCATAATATGTGATCAGTTTCGAGTGCCATAACACGTCAATTCTATTCAAGCATCTAATACACAATTGACCAATCTACTTGAAACTGGGTCATTGCAATTATGTATTTTTAAACAGATTACGATTAACCATTAAGTCGTAAAAACAAGAAAAGTCATTCCTGTATAGTGTAAACAGAGCACTAGCAAATGCTAAGCACAGCTCATACTATAACACAAAGCTACAGCAAGAAATTCCCTAAATTCTGAAAAGCTAGAAATAAATGCAATGCATTCGGCAGATAAAATCCAACAATTACAAAATTGTTGACATCAAATTAACTATTTCTCTTCTAACAAATAATATGATGTAACTTCCACTGTATGATGCTATTTTGTATTATTTGCACGTAGATTGCAGGTCAAGGCTACTACTGAACATGTAATCCTCAATTGTAGTTTAAAAAGAAAGAACTACCTGACGGTCATCTAGGTGTAAGATAACAGTAAGAAGCAACCAGCACAAACTCCTGTACCAAACGAAATTAGCTACTCTGCAAGGCACACCCTATCAGCATAAGATCACTCGAATGTAAAAGGGTTTTGATAACAATAGAAAAAGTCGCAGTCAACCAAATCCTGAGGATTGTCTAAAACAAGATGATAAGGCTTATTCAACTACAACTTACAAAAATTGAAATTGCAGTGTACTGTGTATATCAAAATACAAAGGAGGAAACGATAAAAGCAGAAAAACAACATTGACCTCCTAAATTAATTACACTAATTATTAGATCAATGTCACAATCGAAAATTTTATAATAAATAGTAAAAATGAAGATAACAAAAAAGCAAGAAAAAGAAATGAAAAAAGGCTGCATTTGCAACCTAATAATGCAATTAACCGTGTACAGAAGAAGGTGGAGAAAATTAAAACGAAACCCCACAAAAAAAATAATAATAAATAATTCTATACCACAAGATACAATCCTATACAGCAAAAAACAACAGCAAAGGACAATCCTATACCACCACCATGTGACCGCACATCTTCGCGAAACCCCGGCGGTGATGATAAATGCGAGGGCTGTCCATCTAATCCCGGCGAATTCTCTGGTGACAGCGCATCCTCATCCGGCGGAGGAGCACCTTCAATAGGCTTGGCAGTGACAGTCGGATTCCTGCCAAAAATCTCCCTCGGCAAGAGAACCTTGGAAACCCCAAAAATGGCAACAGGGTTCTGATCAAAGACGGTCTGCGTGACTGAGGCCTGTACAATGCCGGTGTTGATGGCAACAGAGCCATTCACACGCGAAATGTTGAGTGTGAAACTACCAGCACCCATGGCCTCAGTGGCGAGGGTGGGTTGGAAGGGGTTAACAACCGATTCAAGCGAGCCAAGAGGGTAATAGGAATGGAGGACATGGAATTTAAGAACCACCCCTTTTTTATCTGCAGGTAGAGACTGAAGGGCCACAGAGGGTGGAAGATCAGCAAAGGCATCATCCACCGGTACGAAAAGAGTGATTCCAGCACCACCCTCATCAGCCTCAAATTCCTAAAATTGGAAATTAAACAGTTAGTCAAATGTCAAAGTCTAAATAATGTATATATGATAGAGAGCCTCACATCAGTAACATCGTAACATAAAACTAGCTAATAAAATTCAAACTCAGTATCTGAATCACCAACACTACCTGAACTACGCCGGAGGCCGCGAGCATTGAGGCGGCGACGTTGAAGTTGTGGCCGTCGATTAGAGCTTTGGTGATGTTGAGGACGATGTTGGGGCGGGTTTCGGACGCCATGAGGTCGAGGCCGTAGGGAATGAGGAGGGAATTGACGGCGAAGATGGTGACATTGTAGGGTAGGGTTTTGACGAGGGACAAAACGGTGACGTTTGAGGGGGAGTAAGGGGCGGGGGAGCGGATCGAGACGAGGCCGGATTGGGGGTCGCGCGTGAGGTTCACGGAGCCGAAGTTGTCGGTAGCGCGTCCGGTTGTCTGGAGGAGCGTGGTGACGAGTTTCCCGGAGGAGGGGAGGGCGCGGAGGTCAGACCAGGAGAGGAACTGGAGGAGGACGTGGTAGCGTAGGACATCAGCAAGGGCGGCGGGGGAGAGGTGGTGGCGGGCGAGGTGGTCATCGGCGGCGAGAAAGGCGTTGGGGACGGCGAGGATGGAGAGGGAGGAGCGGTCGGAGAGATCCGCCGTTATAGACGTCGCGGAGGCGAGGAGCGCGGTGAATTGGGAGAGGTCCGGGACGGTGGAGAGCAGCGCGGTGAAGTTGAGAGCCGTGGACGCAGGTGGGTTGGTGAGGATGCAGAATAAATAAAGCAGGGCGAGGGCATTTTGGGTAATCGAAAATCCATGGTGAGATCGAGAACGCATTGTGTAGAGCAGTGTTGCCGGATTGAGAATTGGACGGTGGTCTGCGATGTTAGTTAGTGGTTGTTTTGTTTGTTGTGTTCTGTTCTGTGTCGTGTTGAGATGAATTGAATTGAGATGAGAGAGTGAAGTGAGGTTGAGAGTGTGTGAGCATGCAAATTGCATATTGCAAGCTGTGAATGATGAGATGAGCACTGGAGAAGTGATGCAATCATGATGTGGATTGTTTATGTTTTTGCTTCCATTATTATTATTATTATTATTATTATTATTATTATTATTATTATTATTATTATTATTACTTTATCACATATACCATCTTCTTCCTCTTCTCTGTTTTCTCTCTCTTCAACCGATCAATAATCAATGTTAATAATTTCTATCTTTCTTTCTGCGATCTATTCAACCAAATTTATGATAACTGCCCCTTCAATACTACCAAACATAATTACAACTAGTTTTCAATTTTCTGTTTTCAATTTTTAAATCTACAAGCTCTTTCTTAAACTAGCTGCTAATTAAAAATGGTTAAGTTAGATTAGCATTAATTTAAAATTATTTGATAAGCGTATACGTTTATGGAAAATCTCTGACTACAAAATCCGACCCATGTCAACCTTTCTTGCTTTTGAAAACAGCTCAACCCCACAGACCAATAATGATTCATTGTTACCCCAAAAAACATTCCAACTTTTTTTCCTATAAAAACATTCTTGTTAACTACCGTCATCTTTTAAAGACATTAATTTTAAAAATAGTAATTGTACTACTCATAAGATTTTTTTCTTTCTCCTTCCCATCACTTATTAACGTTTAAAATATAATGTTAAATTTAAATTTAGAACATATTTAATGAATATTTCTTAAAAAGTATTAATGAATCCTACTACGAATGTGGTTCGTTAAAATTGAAAAAGTAATTTTAAAATAAGTAATTGTTTAATATTTATTTACGAAATAAACATTGAAATAGATTTTTTTTATTCATATAAATTTATTAAATTTGTATTGCTGTTATTGATTTTGGGTTTGGCAAAGGATTTGGTAGTAATTAGAGAAGGTTGGTGGCATTGAACCATTATTAGGAAATATTGTCACTTCATACCTATTGGGGCAATAATCCAAAGAAAAAGGATGCATTTGAAATATAGTAATTTATAGCTGGGAATAAAGTGTTTTCCTATATATCAAGTCTAGGATGTAGATCAGAAGACAAATGGTGCAATCGATAGGAATGTAAGACAAGAAAAAACATAAATAATAATAATAATAAGTTTAATTTTGTGTCTTTATAAAACTCTTACGAAGATGATTAAAAAGGTTAAACTTAGACTTTAACGACTGATATTAAAGGATGAAAAATGTGGATAAAAGAAGATATCGAAAACCTTGTGACNAACGAAATTATACTACTCTGCAAGGCACACCCTATCAGCATAATATCACGTTCAGAATGTAAAAGGGTTTTGATAACAATAGAAAAAGTCCGCAGTCAAACCAAATCCTGAGATTGTCTCAAAACAAGATGATAAGGCTTTTCAACTACAACTTACAAAAATTGAAATTGCAGTGTACTGTGTCTATCAAATAACAGGGAGGAAACGATAAAAGCAGAAAAACAACATTGACCTCCTAAATTAATTACACTAATTATTAGATCAATGTCACAATCGAAAATTTTATAATAAATAGTAAAAATGAAGATAACAAAAAAGCAAGAAAAAGAAATGAAAAAAGGCTGCATTTGCAACCTAATAATGCAATTAACCGTGTACAGAAGAAGGTGGAGAAAATTAAAACGAAACCCCACAAAAAAAATAATAATAAATAATTCTATACCACAAGATACAATCCTATACAGCAAAAAACAACAGCAAAGGACAATCCTATACCACCACCATGTGACCGCACATCTTCGCGAAACCCCGGCGGTGATGATAAATGCGAGGGCTGTCCATCTAATCCCGGCGAATTCTCTGGTGACAGCGCATCCTCATCCGGCGGAGGAGCACCTTCAATAGGCTTGGCAGTGACAGTCGGATTCCTGCCAAAAATCTCCCTCGGCAAGAGAACCTTGGAAACCCCAAAAATGGCAACAGGGTTCTGATCAAAGACGGTCTGCGTGACTGAGGCCTGTACAATGCCGGTGTTGATGGCAACAGAGCCATTCACACGCGAAATGTTGAGTGTGAAACTACCAGCACCCATGGCCTCAGTGGCGAGGGTGGGTTGGAAGGGGTTAACAACCGATTCAAGCGAGCCAAGAGGGTAATAGGAATGGAGGACATGGAATTTAAGAACCACCCCTTTTTTATCTGCAGGTAGAGACTGAAGGGCCACAGAGGGTGGAAGATCAGCAAAGGCATCATCCACCGGTACGAAAAGAGTGATTCCAGCACCACCCTCATCAGCCTCAAATTCCTAAAATTGGAAATTAAACAGTTAGTCAAATGTCAAAGTCTAAATAATGTATATATGATAGAGAGCCTCACATCAGTAACATCGTAACATAAAACTAGCTAATAAAATTCAAACTCAGTATCTGAATCACCAACACTACCTGAACTACGCCGGAGGCCGCGAGCATTGAGGCGGCGACGTTGAAGTTGTGGCCGTCGATTAGAGCTTTGGTGATGTTGAGGACGATGTTGGGGCGGGTTTCGGACGCCATGAGGTCGAGGCCGTAGGGAATGAGGAGGGAATTGACGGCGAAGATGGTGACATTGTAGGGTAGGGTTTTGACGAGGGACAAAACGGTGACGTTTGAGGGGGAGTAAGGGGCGGGGGAGCGGATCGAGACGAGGCCGGATTGGGGGTCGCGCGTGAGGTTCACGGAGCCGAAGTTGTCGGTAGCGCGTCCGGTTGTCTGGAGGAGCGTGGTGACGAGTTTCCCGGAGGAGGGGAGGGCGCGGAGGTCAGACCAGGAGAGGAACTGGAAGGAGGACGTGGTAGCGTAGGACATCAGCAAGGGCGGCGGGGGAGAGGTGGTGGCGGGCGAGGTGGTCATCGGCGGCGAGAAAGGCGTTGGGGACGGCGAGGATGGAGAGGGAGGAGCGGTCGGAGAGATCCGCCGTTATAGACGTCGCGGAGGCGAGGAGCGCGGTGAATTGGGAGAGGTCCGGGACGGTGGAGAGCAGCGCGGTGAAGTTGAGAGCCGTGGACGCAGGTGGGTTGGTGAGGATGCAGAATAAATAAAGCAGGGCGAGGGCATTTTGGGTAATCGAAAATCCATGGTGAGATCGAGAACGCGTTGTGTTTGAGCATGTTTGCCGGATTGAGATTGGACGGTGGTCCTGCGATGTAGTTATGTTGTTTTGTTTGTTTTGTGTTCTGTTCTGTGTCGTGTTGATTGAATGAATGAGATAGAGAGTGAGTGAGGTGTGATTGCGTTGAGTCATGCAAATTGCATATGCAAGCTGTGATGATGAGATGAGCACTGGAGAAGTGAGCAATCAATGTGGATGTTTTATGTGTTTTTGCTTCCACTTATTATATATTATTATTATTATTATTATTATTATTATTATTATTATTATTATTAACTTTATCACATATACCATCTTCTTCCTCTTCTCTGTTTTCTCTCTCTTCAACCGATCAATAATCAATGTTAATAATTTCTATCTTTCTTTCTGCGATCTATTCAACCAAATTTATGATAACTGCCCCTTCAATACTACCAAACATAATTACAACTAGTTTTCAATTTTCTGTTTTCAATTTTTAAATCTACAAGCTCTTTCTTAAACTAGCTGCTAATTAAAAATGGTTAAGTTAGATTAGCATTAATTTAAAATTATTTGATAAGCGTATACGTTTATGGAAAATCTCTGACTACAAAATCCGACCCATGTCAACCTTTCTTGCTTTTGAAAACAGCTCAACCCCACAGACCAATAATGATTCATTGTTACCCCAAAAAACATTCCAACTTTTTTTCCTATAAAAACATTCTTGTTAACTACCGTCATCTTTTAAAGACATTAATTTTAAAAATAGTAATTGTACTACTCATAAGCTTTTTTTTCTTTCTCCTTCCCATCACTTATTAACGTTTTAAAATATAATGTTAAATTTAAATTTTAGAACATATTTAATGAAATTATTTCTTAAAAAAGTATTAATGAATCCTACTACGAATGTGGTTCGTTAAAATTGAAAAAGTAATTTTAAAATAAGTAATTGTTTAATATTTATTTACGACATACACATTGAAATAGTTTTTTTTTATTCATATAAATTTATTAAATTTGTATTGCTGTTATTGATTTTGGGTTTGGCAAAGGATTTGGTCCGTAATTAGAGAAGGTTGGTGGCATTGAACCATTATTAGGAAATATTGTCACTTCATACCTATTGGGGCAATAATCCAAAGAAAAAGGATGCATTTGAAATATAGTAATTTATAGCTGGGAATAAAGTGTTTTCCTATATAATCACAAGTTATGCTTGTAGAAAAGACGAATGGTGCAATCGATGGGAATGTAAGACAAGAGAAAACATAAATAATAATATAATAGTTTAATTTTGTGTCTTTATAAAACTCTTACGAAGAGAGTTAAAAAGGTTAAACTTAAGACTTTAACGACTGATATAATACGATAAAATGTGGATACAAGAAGATATCGAAAACCTTGTGACTTGGATAAATAATACAAATACACTTCAAGTTAGTTGCATAGATTAAAAAATAAAGTTAAATAAATAATGGTTTGTCTATACATGAGATTATATCCGATTTTTGAGATGCCGGTTAGATTTTACTAACATGAATATTTTTAGTGGATAAATAATGTTTATTGTCTTTGCTTGATACTATTTTGATAAAGTTTTCATTCAACAATGTCGTAATCATATTTTGTAGACTTTTCTTTTTCTTTTAAACTATCTCATTTTGTTCAAATTTTGACATTGTTGAAATGTTCATATAAAAAAAGTTACGAAAAATATAACTATTCTCACCTGATATTATGAAATCTACATTTTCAAATTTAATGTTATAACCAGTTTCGATACTTGAGATGCAGAATCTTATTTTTTATTTGTATTCTTTTATAAAATATCTTAAAAGAAAAAATCTTATGACTACTCACGTAAATAAATAAAAAATATATATTTTTAAACCAGTGTGGACTAAAAAAATGAATAAATACTTAATATTTTCTCTAAAAGATTAAGAGAAATTTTCACGTAAA